AGGTCCCATTCCAACCTCTCCAAGACTGTGAGCAAGGGTGAGGGCCCTTACCCAGTTCCATCACATGAAAAGCAGATGCAGAGCCAGGCGAGGTAGCAAAGGGGGAAATGAATGGGAATACTGTTCCAAACTCTGCATGTCACAGACGCAGCAGCTGCCTCAGCTGTGACAGCCCCCAAAAGTCACAGAGACGGAAACAGACGCCTTCTCTGATTCTCCTGCCCTTCCTTTGTCCACTCCTGCTCACGTCTCTAGTGATGGGGGGCTCACTACATTCCAAGCTGATGCCCCAGTCCTTGGCCCAGTCTAGCTTGAATGTGGAAAGTGCACAGTGGCTTCCTGCTGTCTGCTCCGCATAGCCCCCTTTAACCCCTGCTCTGCCTTCAGCAGCCACAGGGACCTGATGCTGCCTCAGGCACAGAACAGTTCATCTGAGCTTTGGACTAAGTTGTTAGCTGTAGCTCTGGGACTCTTTACTCAATTAGAGCTTTCTGTGGAGGCCCCAACCTGCTAAACAGAAGTCCCATGACTGAAGAGACCAGAGACTTCGTTCACCCTTCTCATTAATTAGGCCCTCTCTAAAGGCACATGAATGATCCATTCTACCAGTAAGCATTTATTGAGCACCTATTATGTGCTTGGTGTGGCTCAGTACAGTAGCCGTTAGCCTACTATGACGGGTTAGCATAATGGTGTGGCTAGAACAACCGAGAACTAACGTTTTTCTTCTTGTTTTGAAACAGTTTTACTATATATTTTAGGCTAGCCTTGAGCTCCCTATACAACCCAGGCTGCCCTCAGGCTCACAGCAATCAATCCTCCTGCCTTGTTACCCCAGGCGCTGCGATCTTAGGCATGCTCTACCTGCCACTGATGCCTTCACAGTTCAAATTTCACTTCATTTCAATTTACTTAAAATTTAAAGACAGCACCCAAGCTGGCGAGGCAACTCAGAGGGTGATGAAGTCCAACCATGAGACCTCAGAAAGGCGGAAGGAGGAACCAACTCCACAAAGCTGTCCTTTAAACCCCGTGTGCTCCGTGACACGCACCTGCCCTAATACCCACCACAAAAACACTAGAAATAATTAATAAGTTTAAAACAAACAGCATTTTTTTTTTAATGAAGCCGCACAAAACAACCTTCATACTAACAAAACTCCACTGTTTAGAGAAGATTGACATTTGATTGGAGGTTTCAGATATTTGGCATCCAAACTGAGATGTGCTCAGTTCGCACACCGTATTTCAACAACTGAGTTAAAAAAAAAAAAATGTTTGTTTTAAAAATAAAAAAAAAAAAAAACGCATCACGTCCTATCTTAAGACTTGAGTGTATGTTGAAGTGATAATGTTTAGACCAGGAAAGTATGTTATTAAGATTAATTCCACTTGTTTATGCGTATGTGCGTGTGTGCGCATGCGTGTGTGTCCTGCAGGTGTGCGCATGCGTCTGCCCAAGTGTGGGTGGGTGCACAAGCGTACGGAGGCCAGAGTGTCTTCTCTATTGTTCTCCATATTAAGTTTTTGAGGGAGGGCGCTTGCTGAGCCTGGGCCTTAGCGGTTGGGCTAGGCTGGCTAACTGGTGAGCCCCAAGGACCCTCTGGCTCTGCCTCCCCAGAGCAGGATTATGGGCTCACACAGCTGCTTGACGCTCTTTAGGGTGCGGGGGTATGAACCCACATTCTTGTGTTTGTGTGCCAAGTACTCTGCTAACAGAGCTATCTCCTCAACCCCTAAATCCATTTCTTTCCTTTTTCTTTTTGCTCATTATTTGTTGTTGGGAGAAGAGAGTATTGGTTAACTTTTTTTTTTTTTAATTTTGTTTCCGTTTATCTTTTGAGACTAGGCTCCCATAGCCCAAGCTGGCCTCAACTTACTGTTGTAGTCTGAGGCTGGCCTTAAACTCCTGACTTTCCGGTGTGTTACCACCCCCCAGCTTTGATTTTAGAGACTGTCCTGCTGTGCAGCCAGCCTGGCCTTGAACTCAGTGCTAGGAGCAGAGGAGAACACAGCCACGCTCATCCTTCTGTTACTGCTTGGTCTCTAGAGTGTAGTTAAGTACAGCTGTGGTTTTTGTCCCGTTTCTGAGCATAGCTGGTGAGCCAGTTATCTCCATGCTCACATCAGCACCCCAAATATTCAGCACAGTGTCTCCTGAGTCTCTAAAGCCATTCTGTTTTCAAACTAAAATGTCTGGGAAAACAGTATTGAGCCACTCCGACATGTTTTCGGCCTCTCTCCCTATCTGACTCCTGAGGCTTCGGTCCTCTCTGCGTGTGCCCACTCTCTGTGACCTTTGACTGGCATGTTGTCTTTCCTTAGCCTTCTGATGCATCTCCCAAGAAGGGCCTTCCTAGGCCCCTCCCTGCCTTGCTCACCCCACCCCCAGGGAGAGGTCACCTCACACTCTGTTCTTTAGAGGGACTTGGAGCTGTTAGTCTCCATGCCCTAGCCTGCTCTTCGCATGAGGTTGTATGCCACAATTGCCTCCCCAACCATGCGGTCTGGGCAGGAAATGCCTATAGGGCAAAACCCACGTCTGAGCTGGAGATGACAGTATACCAGGAGCTGGGGGAGGAACCCCCCCGGGGAAGCCTCAGGTACATGAAGATGTGGAGCAAGATCTTCCCCCTGACCCTTGAACACTGCTTTCCTGCAGAGGTCCTTCCTGCTTTCATTCTAGAGACCAGCACCCTTCCATCTCCATAGGGCGCTCAAAACTCTGAGCCCTCACTTCAGCATCCAACATACTAGCCGTGCTCTGTTGCCTGCACTGTTTCACGTACACACTAAAGGCTATGGCCAGCCACAGGCTGCTTCACCCCACAGCTCCTCTCTGAAGAATCATGCTGGTGACAATTGTCCTGATAATGCCAGGGGAGGAGGCCTCAGGGTTCTTCAGTTCCTTTACTTCGCTGTCTACACGCACAATGGGTGTCAATGTGACAGAGTACGCTGGAACGTTGGTTCCCTTCCATGATAAAGTGAGGGTGCCAGCTCAGCCCCTTCACCTTTCTTTTGGGCCAATGCAGGGCTTCATGGGATACAGAAGGACAGAAAGAAAGGGTGAGGAGTCCTGTGCAGTGGCCCCAGGCATCTTTCCAAGAGGAGCCACTTCTCTGTTTGACCTTTTTTTGTTGTTGTTGTTGAAGTAGGGTAGCTGTGAGGGGCTCACTCAGGTGTACAGGCCCTCCATTCTTCAAGCCTTTCTATCTTAGCCTCCATACCACGACTGAAATTTCACTCCAAGCCTTCCTAGGGTTCAAAACTCTACCAAAAGTTTCAGTGCTGGGAGGACTGCAGAGCATCCTACATCCCCCTGAATGTCCTTGTTTTGTTGTCTTTGAGACGGACCCTCACCATGTAGCCCAGGCTGGCTCTGGGCTCGTGATATCCCTGTCTTGGCCTCCAAATACTAGGATTCCAGGCACGGGCCACCACAGCCCAACTCCTGGAAGTTGTACTGACTTCGACCTGCATGCACACCGTGGTAGCCGTGCACCTCTACCCGTTGCCTTAAATACTGAGAAGCCACCGTACTGAGTGAATAAGCTCGCCAACAGAACCCTCAGGCTCACCAGCCACCCTCTGACCTACTGTGCGCCTGTCTGAGAGGCCAGACAGCTTCTTCTGCTCTGAGACAGTGGACCAACAGAGCCCCCTAGCACCATACCCTCCCCCATCAGAATCTGTCCGGTAATAAACATTAAGCTAGATTTTTTTTTCTTTCTCCAAAATTCTCTGCCTGAGTTTTTTTAATTGGAAGGGAGCATCCTACAACCCCCCCTCCACTGTGATCAGACATAGGCACCAGCTTAGCACATCTGCCTAGAGTCCAGGTGACACGGAGAGAAAAGATGACACCATCAGCTCCATAAACCAACAGCGATGGCAGGCCCACTGCCTGCCGCAGCAAGAAGGCACAGCAACCCACTGAGTTAAAGACTTCTGACATCTGTTCCAAAGTACGGGAGCAGGGGAAGGAGACGAGGCGCGCTGTAAGAACCATGAATCATGCCAACTTGGCCTACCACTACACACTGAGGCCACAGGCCCATCTTCAATGCCTAGGGCACACAGACCTCAGGCCAATCCACCACTGGGCTGACTAAATATTCTAGCCACAAACCTTAAGTAGTTAGGCATGTGTTCATGAGAGCATACATCCCTGACATGATGCTGAGAAAGAATTGTGCCAACAAATAGATAACTAAAGCAAAATTTCTATCTCTCTGCTCTTTAGCCTTAGACCACAGCTTACACACACACACACACACATACACACGAGTGCACACACATTTTCAGCCTAAGGTTTTACAGACTCCCACGGGGTCATCTCTCTTCTCATGCTGGCTAATGTCAACCAGTGCCAGTGGCCCATCCAGTGAAGGGAGACCGGGTTCCTAAAGCATGTGTCCTACACAGAGCAGGCTGGCTCCAATAGTTCAGGTAGTGTGGGGGAAAGCTGTCATCTTTGTCATCCCTGGGCGGCCCCAGGGCTCCTTCCTCTCAGGTCCAAGGTCAAAAACGAGATGGTTATTTATTTCCCTCCATCCTCCGTCATCACTGCTACACTGTCTCCACAGAGGAGTATTCCCAGCCCTGCTCTTTCTTCCCAACATATGCCCCTCACTGCAGATCAAATCAACGGCTGCCTTACCCAACCCCTCTCCTGCCTCCAAAACACACAAAGGAGACACTGGTGCTGAGCTCAGTCTACACACAGCATCCCTGGGGCATCACACTGGTCCTCGGGATTCTCTTAGCAGCTGTGAGGCACAGGCCACAAGGAGTGAAGATGGGAGGGGGCCAGCAAAAGAGTCCCAGACAGGTGCCTGTCCATCTTGCTTGTCTCACAGGAAGGGACGGGGTCCTGGGAACTCTAGTCCTCTGCAGGTGAGGATGCTGAGCCGGCACTTTTGTTTCTGCCCTGCATGAGTGCCCCTCACAGACCCTATTTGGTCTGTCCCTGACGGGGATGCGCAGCCATCTCTTACCTTCATCCCTCTTGCGCTTGTTGGTGTCGGCACTGGGGGACGTGATGCCCAGGATGCCACTGATGGAGTACGAGGAGCCTGCAGAGTCGGTGCTCACTGATGACCCCTGCGTCACGGAGCCTGTAGACACTGTAGAGGGAGAGGGGTACCGGCCTGTCACAAAGGTATGTGCTAGATACAAAGGGCTGGGTACAACTGCCCCAGAAGGGAGAGGACTGGCTCACGGACACCCACCCTGTCCACGCAGAAAGGGATACAAGCACAGAATAAGAAGGGAATTTGCTGAGATCCCAGTCAGTTTAAGGGTGCGAGAGACAAACACGCCCGCTGCTGCCACCTCCAGTGCTGAAAAGAAACCTAGATGCCTTCTTGAGTCATGTTCATCTTTGCTTACATTCCATCCAGGCATGCGTGCAGACTCAGGTAAACACACACACATACACGCACATGCACTCACACACAAATGTATAATAAAAGCACTGACGAGCACTGGAGCACGACAACGTGTCTCCACTGGCATTGTGCTTTTTGCTCGATCCCTGCAGCAGCCCAGGGCACTGCTGATTATTTCTATGTGCCAAATGAAGAAAGCTGGTTTTACAGGGTGAAGTGGTTCAAAGTGACCTAGCTAAGGAACATCCTACTTAGCCTCAGTTCTAAATTTTCCCTTCCCAGAAGTGGAAACAGAGGCGGTGACTTATTGTGGTCAGGGCCAGGTCTCTAGGTCCCTACAAGCCAGGAGGGAAGAGGTCTTCAGCAAGTTCCATGGCGACTCATAGTCCAGGGAACCCATGAGGGTCCGCTCTAGCTACGTGGCTGGGTTTCCACTTGTGGGATGTGAGGGTTCTTCCTCCATTCGTGAAGACCAGCAGAACACTCTCACACACCCCTCCATGAGCAACCAGCTGGAGGTACGTGGCTGGGAAAAGTCACGTTCCTCGGAGCAGAGGCAGCACCTGGCTGTCGACTGAGAGGGAGCAGAACCTCTCTGCTCACACTAACATCTTCCTATGGTGACACCAAAGCAGAAATTGCTAACTTCTCCTTCCCTTCAACAGAAAAAGTTCCTCAAAATAGATTTATGCAAATCCCACAACCTCTTCTGTATTGAGGTGCGAATAACAAAGGAGTAAAGAAAACATTTGGCACTTCAAACAACAGCCACGTGGAAGAGAGGCTTGGCTGTGTCACTGCAGAGCCAATAACACCTGCTTAGGTATTTTATTTTGCAATCACACTGGGCATGGAGGACGCGGGTTCCAGTTCTGGCTTCGCATATGACTTTAAACTAGTCATCAGTGAACACTCAGTGCTCAAAGAAACTATATAATGCCGTATACATGTGAGGTGAGCTACAGTGGAATTTCTCCTCTAACACTACTGAAAGATGGCTTTACTTTCTTCATGCTACATGCCCTGGAACAGCTAAAGCCACAAGTGAAATCTCAGTCACAAACACCCTCTCACCCCACCCGGAAAACCCTCATCAGGCCCTCCATTCCACCCTCCTGCTACTCAAGCAGACCTGTTTCCTGGGTTCAGGTTTTTGTTCTGTTTTGGTTTTGGTTTTTTTTGTTTGTTTTACTTTGATGGTGGCTTTTTTGTCTGGCATTGATCTTGTACCCCAGGGTCTGCAGAACAGGGGATGGTAAAGGGTTTCTGATGGCAGTACTAAATGAAGAATGGTCTCTGGGCAGGGAAGGTGTGTCTTACCTTCAGTCGAACAGCCATCCTTAGAGGACCAGAAACCTCAGAGAACACCTTTGTGACTGTCCATACAACAGCGAGGAAACTGTTGCTCAGGGCTGAGAGACTCATCTAATTGACTGGGTGAGCTAATGACAGAACTGCAACTGGAAGCCAGGCGCCTCTGCCAGTTTTCTCATCACCATGAGAGGCAAGGGCACTTGCTGTTGTTCCAGAGGACCTGAGTTCAGTTCCCAGCACTCATATCACATAGCTCATAATTGCTTATAACTCCAGCTCCAAGGCATGTATTGCCCTCTTCTGGCCTCCTCAAGTAAATGCGCACACACACACACACACACAGATTTAACTGGTAGTGATAAATATTGCACAGTCTGAGATGTTGTTCTGCAGCATTCTCGGGGTCTGTGTCACCCAAATTTGCAGATGCTTGCTTATTAGCCACCTGCTTCCTTGCAGTACAGTGATTTTTTTTCCCCAGCAACCCAGAAGTATTTCTTTGTCCCAAGTGGAGAAATGACGTGAAGAATATGCCTTGATGATAAATGCCATTTTCAACTCCTCTTTGAAGAGGAAGCAAGAAAAAAGTTTAGACTCTTGAGTGTGGTCCAGTAGGACTCCACCCTAATGAGTCATGGTTACTCTTAGACTTCCCCTGTGGACCTTGGAAACCCCACAGGCAGCCCTCAACAGTTCGCAGACTACGAGAGAGCGAAGCGAGAGCAAGAGAGAAAAAAAGTTTGGGAAGTTTTGCTATATCTTCACTCAAGGCTGCAAGTGCACAAAGAATTGCAGAAGGCTGGTTATAGAAGAAAAAAAAACACATTCAAAACTACTTACTGACTAATGATGCAGAAAATGTTATGAATAAGTATCCCTTTCTTGATTTATTACTTTAATTATCTGACATTCTATAGACCCCCATTAGTGAATTTTTTTTGGCTTAGATTTCAATTTTCTGTCTCATGGTGAAAGCTATTTATCATAATAATCAGTAAAATTCAAAACCTTTTAGCAGTATTTATAAAATTCATTTGCCAGGTTCAGCCCTTGGAGAATGACAAAGAAGAAGCATTAGGACGCGTGCGAAGTGTTTTATGCAGAATTATCTGTCCATAAGAATGATTAAAAGTTCTTTAGAATATTTGGAGCCCATTAGATTTTCAAAATTTTTTGAGTTCTTACCTATGCTGTGACTGGAAGCTGGGACCGGCTGGTTGGGGGGCTGCTGTACTTTTGTCCGGATGATCCTGTAGGCAGTTGGGGGGAAAAAGCAAAAGACTATTTATCATTGAGAAGGAAAGCGACCCTGAGGCTGGGGCGTCCCTCTTATGACAGAGAGCTTGTCCAGCAATAAAGAAACTGCATGTGGTGGTACATACCCACGGTGCCAGCACTTGGGAGGAAGAAGTAAGAAAATCACAAGTTCAGAGTTATCCCCGGCTACATAGCAAACCCAAGCCTAGCGCAGCACACATGGGCCCCTGTCTAAAACAAAGGAGGAAGAAGAAAGAGGCCTTAGCAAGATATGCAGAGACACAGGAGAGAAGCAGAGTTTGCGGGGGGGGGGGCAATTATGTGCTCGGGCTGGGAATTAGGAATTCTGAGAAGTTTTCTCCCTGGCTGTCTTTGGGTGACTTGCACTCATAGTCCCTGAACCCTCAGTGCCTCTCTTCTCTCTCTCTCTCTCTCTCTCTCTCTCTCTCTCTCTCTCTGTGTGTGTGTGTGTGTGTGCATGTTTGTGTGAGAGTGAGCTTTGGTTTGTTTACTTTTCTGAGGTGGAATCTCATGTAGTTCATGCCAGCCTCATAGCCTCAAGCTCCCTATGTACCCAAGGCTATGCTTGGACTCCTGACCCTCCTGCCTCTAGTAGAGAGGCAGGTGTGCACCACCACACCTGGCTGAGCGCCTCCTTTTCTGTAGAATAAAAGATGACTCGATGCTGGTCCGGGCCGGCCTAGCTGTCTCTCAGGGAAATCTGCAGCCCTATCAAAAATTCTTCCCCTCCCTAGAGCCTAGCCTTCACACGTGGGACCAAAGAACTGAACCGGGCAGTCTGTCTTTACTCTGGCAGCACTTTCGTGCTCATTCCTTTGCCCTAAAGACTCCACAACTAAGATTAAGGCTCCCCCCACCCCCGGGGGAATTAGCATGGGAGAGGATGCGTGTCACTGAAGCTGGGAAAGGTTGAGGTACTGCCCAGGGAAAGCACCAGGCTTGGCCTCCATAAGCAGCCAGCCCAGACATACCCCATGTGTCTTAGCCACAGTGCTGCTCTCCAAGTTTCATCATATTGCTCAAGGATGACAACCAAAAGGAAAAATGTGGGGCTGGAGAGATGGCTCAGTGGTTAAGAGCACTGACTGTTCTTCCAGAGGACCCTGGTTCAATTTTCAGCACCCACAGGGTAGCTCACAACTGTCTGTAACTCCAAGATCTGAAACCCTCACACAGACATACATTCAGGCTAAACACTAGCGCACATAAAATTAAAATTAAATTAAGTTAAAAAGAAGGAGAAGGAGACGGAGAAAGGAAAGAAGGAGATGGAGAAAGTGAAGAAGAAAAGAAGATGGAGGAGGAGGAGAAGGAGGAGGAGGAGGAGGAGGAGGAGGAGGAGGAGAAGAAGAAGAAGAAGAAGAAGAAGAAGAAGAAGAAGAAGAAGAAGAAGAAGAAGAAGAAGAAGAAGAAGAAGAAGAAACAACAAATGTGGGGCAAGGCTAAAACAGGTGGTCCAAAGGCAAACTTCAGGACAAACTCAACCACCTGTCCTGTCTGACAAACGCTGTAGATAGTTCCCAACTATAAGCTTATCACTCTAGCTGTGGTCTGAGAGACTAAAGATTCCTGGTTCCCTGAGAGTAGACTCTGGGAGTGCCTTAGCAAAGGATGCATCAACCTGACTTCAAAGCAGGGAGCCCAGGACACTTAGACCAGAAGCACAAAGGATGGAGACACCCTAGCTACTGCCAAAGATTCGGGAGCAGGTCCAACAGACAGTACATTTGTGACAGCTGCCTCTCCAGAATGTTTGTTGCAGTTCTAACATGAGCCTGACTATGACCTTGAGTAAGACTGTTACATCGTGGTCTCTGCACAACCAAGGAGTTCTCATAGATTCTTCTTTAATTATTTTAAGTAGTCAAATACTTTTCACAAGAAATGCATTTTTTGCAGAAGGCTGTCTTTGCTTAAGGGATGAAGGCTGAGCCCACTTCCCTTTCCCCAAAGCCTGGCAACCCTGATGCTCTGCAGAAGTCTGGGGAGCCTCAATGGCAAACTTCCAGCAGGATCGACAGGGGCCTCCAGGAGACCACCAGCACGGCACAGCTCTGAACACAGAGCAAAGACAACCAAATATCCCTGTGTGACCTGCAAGGGAGCTCCCGCCCTGGCATTTTGGAAATGGGTGAGACATGATATAATAAAACGTTGACTTTCTCAAGAAAAGTTCTGCTCGAGGCTCAAACTATTACTTTTTAGCAGGGCACTTGGTAGAGTTTTACTTCATTATTAAAGTACTCTGTGCTCGTTATAAAGTACTTTTTACATTCCTGTATATACGCATGTGTCTGTTTAATCCTGTAAGTGCCCATGTACACTGTGTGAGTCTGTGTAAAGGCCAAAAGATGACCTCAGATGTTATAACTCGGGTAGGCAGGCTTGCCAGAGGCCTGGAGATCTGTCTGTGTCTGTTATAATGGAGCTAGAAGTGTGTGCCACCACAGGTGATGCATTTGTGCGTTCATACGTGGATGGACATGAGTGCATGTGTGTGTGGTTTTATGTGTGTGTGTGTGTGTGTGTGTGTGTGTGTGTGTGTGTGTGTGTGTGTGTGTAGGTTATAGGACAACTTTCTAGAGGCTGTCTTCCTTCTTCTTCACCATATGGGCTCCAAGGATCAAATTCTCAGGCTAGTGGCAAGCACCATCACTTAGCTGAGCCATCTCACAAAACTCTCCCTACCTTTTGTAAATGTGGACTCTGAGGAATCAAAATTAGGTCCCTGTTCTCACAGGACAAGCCCTTTGCCTCCAAAGCCGTCTCCCAGCTCCCCTCTAGCCCACGCTATCTATCAGGCATGGTACTACGTGCCTGGAATCCCAGCACTTGAGAAGCTGAGACCCAGGGATGAAGAGGTTGAGGCCAGCCTGAACTGCATATCAAGACCACCTCTCAGAAAAACAGCAAAACGAGCTATGCCACATGGCACACATTATACCCACATTCCTGCTGCTTTCTCAAAACACCATGTCCTACCAACAAATCAGAATTTAGCTGTGCACTCAGTTTTTCTGTCCTGCAAGACATGCTACCAGGGGCTCTTCACATGCCAAACTACCGTCTCTGAATGTTCATTTCAGGGCTGCCCAGCTCTTCAGCCTCTGCACGGGAAGGACGGTGGGAGCAGGTATCTCTTGTTGACGTCACTGGGCTCTGCCCTACCTGACCTTATAGCTTGGTGCCTGGCACCCAGGGCACTTGACATCATTAGCCGATCTATGGAATAGACTTGTTCATTCAAGGCTACAAGCTAACCGTACAGCACCAGAGTCCTGGCCACCTGAGTGAAGTCTTAGCTCAACCCCCTCAAATACATTTGGCAAGTGTGCGTTTGTTTCTTGTTACAATATTCAAAGCAGTTCCGACTAAGCAAACACAAAATGTGCTGAATAAAAACCTAAGAGTAAGGTTCTTCCTTTGGACCTTTTGAAATTATGTTGCTCCCCAACCTAGTTTTTAAAAAAAAAGGTTGTTAAGATTACATTGTGCATGTGTGTACTTGTGTGTGCGTGTGTGTGTACATGTGCACACCACAGTGCCCGTGCTGGAGTCAGAGGACAACTTGCAGGAGTTGACTTTCTCCTTCTACGATGTAGATCAAAGGCATAAGCTCCGGCTGTCGGACTCTGTATCAAGTCACTTCACCTACTGAGTCATCTGGCCAGCCTTGATCTAATCTTTGTGTATGTGTCCACAAAGACGTAGCACAGAAGTCAGTATACAGGTGAGCTAGATATGTGTCCTGTTCCCTACTGAAGTCCAATGCAAAACCCTAACTTTTCATTAAATTTGTCGAGACACAGAACAAAGTATGTTTTCATGTTTTTTTCAAACACCTGTAAATCACTGGCAAAGCCTTCTGAAAGGCCATGAACCATTATCCGGCCACTGCGGCACAGGAAGGAAGCGCACAGACCCCAGAACCAAAGCACTAGAGTTCAAATCCAGCTTTTAGTTTGCCAGTTCTACGACCTGGAGGAAATCCTCTACCTCAGTTTTCTCTCCTGAAAACTGAGACTTTTCCTACCCTATGGAATTATTATTAGGGCTGAATTACTAAACCATTTTGACGTGGCTGATCCATCTCAAATGCCCAATAAGTGTCACATGTCGTTATCCTTATTGCTGTCTTCATAAAGATGAAAGGTCAGCTTCAACCTTAAAGCGTTCAGACACTTCATATTTCCTTTAGATACAGAACGACTGTAAGCTGAGGCAGAATGATCCTGAGTTCAAGGCCAACCTGAGGTTCATAGTAAGACCATATCTAAAGTAAATAAATAAGACTCATCATCTATTGCTGAGCATAAGCATGACCCAGGGAAACATATTAACATGTTTTGGTTTAATACTGATGAACAGACTACAACCCAGCCTGCCATGAGGATTAGCCGGGGTCACACAGCCCAAGGTTAGTCCAGACCCCTAGCTCCCAGCTCTGAGCGACATTGAAAGGAAGTGGTCCCCTCTGTATGAAACACAGAAGCTATTTGGACTGGAAATCCATTTCTCACAATCTAAGGAATCTTCTACCATAAGCATTTAAGGATTCCACTCCAGCATCATTCCTCCTTATACTGAGAGAGGTCATTGTGATGCCTGGGAAAGGTGAGGTGGGGGTGCAGGTGTAGCTGGCTGGTATGGTGCTTGCCCAGGATACACACCCACAAGGCCTTGTGGTCAGTCTCCAATGCCACCTGAGCTGGGTGTGATCCCAGCACTCCAAGAGTCAGAAACACAAGATCATCTTAGATTCAAGGCCAGCCTAAGCTACATGAAACTGTCTCAAAAAGGGGGCAAGGGGCCGAGGAGATAGATAGCTTAGCAACTGAATCGCTTGCAATGCAAACATGAAGACCAAAGTTCAGGTACCAGAAACTCATGTAAGTTTTGGGTGCCCTGCTAATTCCAGCCTCAGAAGGGGAGAGAGAGGATGTCCATGGCAAGATGGCTCTCTACATTGATTACCAGCAAGCTTTGGGTTTCACCGAGAGTCCCTGCCTCACCAGTAAGGCAGAATACTGATTGAGGGTGATTGTCAACCTCAAGCTCCAGCTTCTCCACGCACACACATATAACAATAACAACAAATAAACAGCACATACACACACACTCACAAAATGCTCAAAAGGCTAAAAAGGAGAGAAACAATCACACTGCCAAAGGAGCCATCGACACAGAAAGATGTGCAAGCCATCAGCTATACTGAGAATCCAAAAATCTGGGACTAAGCTGAGTGGGCCCACAGCCACACTGAGGCCGCCACCCACGCGAAGAAGAAAGAGGGAGTCAAGAAGCATCTGAGGAGACATGCTGCCAATGTCAAGGTTAAAGAGCAGAAGCAAAGCTCTCTTGCTAGTGCATGCCTGCAAATCCCAGCCCTCGGGAGACTGGGGTGGGTGTACGGGCAGTTGGAGAGCTGTCTGGACTGCAGAGTGAGCCCAACTCCACAAAAAAGGAACAAAAATAAGTAAGTAAAGTATTTAACAGGCTACCTCCAGCCCCCTGCACATTTTTTTTTCGTTTTGTTTTTTATTGAGTAAATGGCAAGTATGTGGAAGCTTTGAGCTTTTCTGTAAAAACCTGACCTGAACCAATAATGCTGGCCCCACATTCTCTCACGCACAACAGCCAGTTAGTGCTTAACAGAGCTGGCCCCCTAAACTGAGAATGCCACTTGTCCCAGTACTTGGCCACTAATTTAGAGCCATGGAACTGGAAGGGAAGATGAACTGTGAGCTGAGGCAGAATGATCCTGAGTTCAAGGCCAACCTGGGGTTCATAGTAAGACCATATCTAAAGTAAATAAATAAGACCCATCCTCTATTGCTGAGCATAAGCATGACCCAGAAGAGAAGACCTCCGCCACACCCACCATTTCAGTCAGCTCTGAAGGCCCTGCCTGGCCTTCAAGACTCTCCAGCACGGCATCCCACAGGAGCAAGCTGGCTTGAGGAAGTCTCCCACCAGCCTCAACTGCTTCTGCAGTATTTAGCTCCACATTAGCATTGTTTCCTGAGTTGGTTCCTAAAAACAGCAGGATGGCATTGCCTCCAGGGGTGGTTAGTAGAGTGGACCCTGTGGCCACTAGAGTAAGTATAAATGCAAACGTCACCTTCTCTCCAGCTGTTTGAAACAGAGGAATAGTGAGAAATTGCCCAGGTGGGAAAGCGGCTACGAGAGAGCTATGAACTCCCTTTTGACACTTGCAAGCTGGTTATTTGAAAGATCATCACTCTCGATGCAACTGGCTCTGCCTTCCTATAAAAAATAAAAGCAGTTCTGTGGCAGGTGGCATAGGTTTTCCAGTGAGACTGGGGTGGGGGTGCGTTGGGAGACATTGCTTCTTATTTGGGCACTTTCAGTGAATGTGCAGCAAGGACTCCCCAAGAGGAGCCCTGGAGAAAAGCCCTGAAAAGGGCTAAGAATTCCTGGGTTGGCAGACAGCAAAGCATGCCAGCCATGATGCTCTGAAATAGGAAAAGAATGGTGCCATCTCCCCCTGGCCTCCTAATCCCAGGAAATGGCTTGCAGAGACCTATAGGACATGGGTGGAAGGACACCAGGCCTCAACTTACTATTGATTCTACGCTCATCTTCATCTCAATCACCTTTCTCCTGCCCTTCCCATCTGGGTCTCAGCTTCTAGACCTGCCGCAGGACAGCATCAGGCCTGAAGGCTATTGGAGGCCACAGATAGAAAGGCCACATAGAGATATAATCAGCCACCCACGTCTATGGACTAACACACCCAGGAGGCCCCGGAGTCTAGCCACAGCTGCAGTCACCAGCACCAGAGCCTCTCCCGAAGCACAGCACTAGTCACAAAATCAGCCATGCTTGGTGTCCCAGAGCCACTCATTCAACTCCACCCTCCACAGCCTTTGCTACATCTCTAACCACTTCTGTCTTTGCAAGGATGAAATGTGATGAAGAAATAAACAAATGCAACTTAAAGCTACATTTAAGCCCAAAGTAAGTTGTTTCACAGAAACACGCAGAGCAAAGAGTTGAAATGAGTTGCTGCCATTTAAAAGTCTAGGTGTTTTTCATGTGCATGCATCCACGTTCACAAAGGGATTCTGGTGTCTAGGTTCTCTCGAGGAGTGGACTGACTCTGGCCCACACTCCCAGCAGCCCTCAGCTGCCCACTCCCAGGACTGTGCCATCTCACTTGCCTTCGCCCCTACAGTCCTCCAGTCTCACACCTGGCCTGTCTTCCTCATTAAGCCATCCCCTTGGCCCCACCCACATAGACAATAGAGTCTGTGATCGCCATGGGCAGCCAAGGTTTTTCTGTGGACCATGTCATCATGTGCGAACCCTACACTGGGAAACCTGTGGACTCCACAAATCCCCGTCAGATGTTTGCCCAAGTTCACCCTACAGAGCAGACCAATTTCTCCAGTATTGCCTCCGCTCCTGCCTCTGCATTCTCCAGTGACCCCAAGCTGGATGCTTCCTAGCTCAGGGTGTCTAAGCAAGATGGTGCTTAACCGTGGGAACAGTAGCATGGATGAACATTGGCATGTGTCTAGCATGGGTCCAGTTGTGCTGAAAATCACATTTTAAATCACAGTGGCAAAAAGAGAATGTTAAACAGCTCGTTAATAATTTTCATACTGAAAAAAAAGAAAAAAGAAAAAAATAATTTTCATACTGATTGTACAATGAAATTCTTTTTTTTTCTATGTTGGGTTAAGTAAATATAACCACAATTAATTACACCTATTTCATTTTTACTCTTCTTAATGTTTACTAGAAAATTTCAAGTTACATTCACATTGTATCTAATACTAGTAGAGTGCTGTGTATTAGCAAAATTCACATTCTTCGACTAAAATGTCACTGGAAAGGTGGCTTGGGTCTCTGGTTTGCCAATTCTCTCCTCCCCTAGAAGAATTTCCATCATTCCACAAGGCAATCTACTTTTTAAAAAGAAGAATAATAACCCTGACACCCAGAACAAAAATCAAGTTTGCTTGGTGTCCTGGAAATCCTGTAATGAGACAGGCACGGAGAACTCACAAACTGGAACCTTTCTAAACTCAGAAAAAGAATAGGCACGACACCCCTCACCCCTAAGCCCACTGGCATCGTCCCCCTCCTCAGTTCTACCCTCTAGAACAGTTCTAAAAAGCTTGCGTCCAGTTTCCCTCTTTGTCAGCACCTTGCAAGATGGTAGAGTCCCAGTAGGGATTTACAAGATAAGCAAATGGGCCAAGGGTTGATAAATCAGAGAGACTTAAAAAAAAAAAAAAGTATTCATGACGTGCTGACGCTGTGCAATTGAGTCATCGGGGCCAAAGGGGCCCTCAGAGATACTCTATTCTGACCACCTCTTTCTTGCAAGGGTGAGGAATTCTCTGTGCTCAGACAGGCTTTGTGCCTGCCACAGGAGGGAGTGACATTGAGGAAAGGAATGGTTCAATTTCCAGACTTCTGGCTTCTTTTCCTTATGTGAAGGCATTGTTTCCTATGAGAACAACTGTGCACATTCATCTCATCATTTCATTCCTGTGTGTTTGTTTGTTTGTTTGTTAATTGTTTATTTATTTTGATTTTGGAGGCAGGATATCATGTCTTGCACTTAGAACTTTCCATGTCACCCAAGAATGAGCTTGAACTCCTTATCCTCCTGCCTCTACTGTAATTCCACTGGGATTACAGGCATGTAGCACTGGACCAGGTCTAGGTGGTACTAGGGATGTAGCCCAGGCCTGCATGCATGCAAGACAAGTATTCTGACAACTGAGCTGCGCCCCAGCTCCTGACTGTAGGCTTAAATAGATGGGAAACTACACACTCAGAAAGCTCAGATAGGAGGATCATTTCAAGCACATAGCAAGTCCCAGGCCAACCAGAGATACATAATGAGATTCTGTTTCATTTGAAAAAAAAAGAAAAAGAAAAAAAAAAGAAAAGTATATTTTCCAGAATGTAAATTTTCATTTTATGTAGTACTTTATTTTTTGAGTTGGGCTCTTGCTATGTAGCTATGATTGGTCTCAGAATCTCTGCCCTCGAAGCCCCCTGGGTGTTGGAATTACACATATGTGTCACCAAACCTATGCTTAGTCAGAAATTTATATTTAAAGCTCTAACAGGGTCAGTCAATATGCTTTGGATCAGCCTAAGGGAGGGGGAGGATGTCATTGTCAAGTCCAGAAAAATGCTGTGCCTGGCATCATCATGTATTTCTGTTTTTGTTTTCTCTCCGTAGTTGAGATCTGAGGGTGCATGGGGGCAGGCATCTCCTTGTCTCTGGAGTTCCTTAGCTCCCTGAATATCCACGTTAGAATCATTAGAAAGCCCATGTTAGTGGCCTGGGCTCTCAGGGAAAAAACAAACAAGAGTCTGCTGAAATCTCACTTCTGTTTGGTAGTAGGTCAAGAACAAAGAGCTATGTGGCCCCAGCCCAAAAGGACTTTGTTTCCCACATATTGGGTTCCAACCTCTGTGCAAACTGGAGGCTGGGCTGTCTGCCTGGGGAGCTCTGAGACGAATCAGCCCTCGGACCATGAGATCCTGGCAGGGGTAGGAAAGCATACAGGACAGTTTATACAAAGTGCCCCTCAAAGGTAGCTGGTGAACCAGGTGAGTCTGTCACTCCTGGCTCAGAAAACTCCTGGGTATTGGCCTGGTGCCTTCTCCCTAGGAGGAGAGCTCCTGTCCCTTTTAGAGGGGTGAAAGGCACCTGAGTGCAGCAGGCACCATTTGTGTTCCCTTTGGCTCACTAATCCCCAGAGCTGAGCGAAGAAGAGCCGGATGAGGCTCACCTGACCCTGCAGTACACAGCCCCACCAAATCCCCAGCCTCACCTGTTGATGGAGCTGACACTGGGGACTGTGTCGTTGTCACACACTCGCTCTGCCAACAGCCGGTCTCTGATCTCCCAGGCAAACATGGTGGGATTTTGGCGTTTATACTCAGCAATTTTTTCCACCACTTTGGGAGTGGCAACCTTTGGTTTGGATCCTCCAATCACCCCCGGCTTGATGCTTCCTGTCTCGTAATACCTAGACCCAAGAAGAAAGGACCGTAGTTAGCCATGGGAGCCCGCAAAGTGAATGAATGTTCGCAGTGTGGAAAGGGTGACACAAGATGTAAACAGTAAATCAGATCTTTAGACATAGTACAGAAAAGCTATCAAGTAGCTTGACAATTTTTAAAATTTTATCTCTTAAAAGTGGCTGTTTTGTGTACATGCATGGCTCTGTGTATGTATGTGTGTGCGAAGCTCAGAGGACAACTCTCAGGAGTCACTTCTCTCCTTCCACCATGGAGTCCGAGGGACTGAGCCCTGGTCGGCAGGCTTTGCAGCAAGTGCCTTTATCAGCTGAGCCATCTGGCCAGCCCACTAATAATTTTTATATTTTTTTATATGTTGAAATGATAATCTGTATGCATTGGGTTAAATAACATTCATAATTGAAATTAATTGTACTGGTTTATTTTTACTTTTCTTAATGTGCTATGAAAAATTTCAAATTGCTCACATGGCTTATATTATATTTTATAATATAATCATAAAATACGTACATTGTATTGGACAATGTACGTATTGGACAATGCTAATATGTAGCATCAAGCATATTAGCATATTAGCAAGATGCCTTCACATTCATCCACCATTTCACAGATTATTTTAAAAAAAATGCAACTTAGCTTTACCTCTTGGTCCACTAACAGCTCTAAAGCCCATAAATTGCTTTAGATGAATGAGTAAGTGACTGAACAACTATTTGCCGTACCCTTCTGTGATATGAAATGGATTTATACAGGTTAAATGTCTGCCTTGGGGTCACAAAGGATTAAGGTACCCAGCTAAGACTCTGGCCAAGCCTCTTGAACTAAAATCTCCCCAGAAAGGTGATATAGACCTTCAGTTTCCTGCCTCTTTGATCCCCAGAAGAATCTCCAGCATTCTCTCAAGCTGCCTTTTTTTTTTTTCAAGAGAAAAAAACAATACCCCTGATGTAAAATTAAAGGGAGTGTTGGATTCCAGCGTTAATGGGAAATATATATTAGAAATCAAATCCTGAGCAATCAGAAAAACCAACCACAATTCTCGCCAGCTCTTCCCGAGGCCTCCCCTGAGGTAAATGGCTGTTTCTAAGGACATTTCCATGCTATCAGCTTTTCCTCGTTAACACAAATAGGATGTCAGGATTTTACAGCAAAAACCGAGACCAGAGAGAAGAGTGGCATGAAAGATCATTTCAGAGGAGAAGAAAAACAATTTGGTTCTTTTTCTGAAGTCAAGCCATCACTGGATGTCTCTCTCAGTGTTTACAGAGGAATTTCTAAGCTCCTGTGGCAAAAAAAAAAATATCCTGAACTTGAAAATTTTTAAACCAAAAAGATGTTTTAGAAATTATAAATTTTAAAACCTAGAATATTTATCAAAAGAAGGGAATGCACTAGAAAAAGTGGCATGTATCTGTAACGCCAGCACTTGGGAAATAGAGGCAGGAGAACCAGAAGTTTAGAGAGGGGATGGGAGGGGGGGAGTGAAGAAGAAGAGGAGGAAGAGAAGGTGGAGAGCATGAAGGAGAAAGAGAAGAGGAAGAAGGGAATGGGGTGATTCTGTTGGATGGATGGAAATGTGATCCAGAAGCAATGATGGAACATTTATGGGGTTGCTAAAACTCTCAGCTCGGATAAGTCTGTTTAGGGACAAGTAAGTGAATATTATAGAATATTATATGTTTTATGGTGAAAAACCATAAAACAAATCTCAACCTATCGAAGCAATTTTCTTTTAAAAATGATTTGATCATAAAAGCATTCAATAGATACCCACAAAACACATCTTTTGATAGAAAGTAAAAAGGCACCTAAATTCTTGCACATAAGCAACTAATGAAAACTCTATCGTGCTGTGAACTTCTCAAGAGAAAGTCAATTATTTACTGTCATATAACAACTCATTATTTTGGCACTGCACTCTGGATTTTATAAGGTTCTTCAGATTAGCTTGCTCCTCACTCATCTTTTGAAGCCAACAGGATTTCATAGAAGAGAAAATAAATGATCCAAAGACTAAGGGACCTGCCCAGTTTCTTCTGGCTGCAGAGATAGACTTTGAACCCAGGGCTCTTCCCACCACTACGAGTTTCTGCTTTGATTATAACATTTTTGTGTTAGCAGATGCGATTCTTACAATTGTAGAGAGCCTTACTGTTTTGCAAGGTCTTTTCTCAAGCGCCCTTCACTCACTGCATGAGCCAATAGTCACTGATTCCTCTCAGGGCTTAGTGGTTCTCAGCATTTACAGATACACAGAGCACACTGTGTTCTCAAGATCCATGACTCTAATGGAATGGCAGAGAGCACACAGCGACTCCCAGGACAGCAGAAGAAAGCCTCTTGCTTATGCCACTGGTATGCAAGAGCCCAGGGCCCCTTGCCCAGCCTACGTGAGCAGTGCCAACTGTGGGACTCTGCAGTCTTGACCCTCTAGGGCTCTGTCTTCCATTTGACTGACATGTGGGCCAGGCCCTCAGAAAGCAGCGCAGACACCCCCGAAACCCAAACTCGAGACTGTGTCAAGTGAGGATTCAGACTTAATAACCATCCTTTCATCCCAGCGAAACAGCCGTGCAGCCCTTTGGCTTACAGACAAAAGGAGAACGGCAGCCACCAGCACAGTGTCCCCCGGTGCAGAGAGCACAGAGAGCGCTAGGGTCGGAGTCAAGAGACACCATGCCCGTGGTGGCTCTGACACCAACTGGCTGTGTGATCTTGACCAACCAGGCCTCAGTTACCCCGTTTCTGTAGGGGCGGATATTTGCCCTCCTGATTCCTCTACAGAGCTGTGTATGACAGGAATGCAGAATGACTATGAGACTTTGCTAAATGAATAAGTAAACAAATATAAGAGAAATTATATAACATAATGTGAGCAGTTGGGGATTAAAAATCCCACTGTTTTATTTTTACTGTGTGGTATGCCACCAAAGCTCAAATGACCTGGCATTCCCAATGATAGGGGACAACAGCACTGCTCTGGTGATCTGCCTCGGCCTTCGAATGATGCCCAGCCTGTCGACAGCCTTGAGTTCTAGACTGGATGTCCACACTTCAGGAAGCCCATATACCTTCCTGGGAGGACAGGGATCCTGCCTGCTCACGAGACCTTTGCCTACCTTGCTACACAGCCTTTGAAACCCACAGCCACCACACCACACCAAGCCCTCTACGACCTGATACCCAGTGAGCACCCATCAGATTGTTCTGTGGGAGGAGGGAAAAAAAAATCTGTGGATTGAACTGGCCACATTCAGAAATTCCCAGACACACTGTTTTAGGGCTGAATTTGTTTCTTAAAAGGCAGTTCTAATTAGAGTGACATTTTGTCCACTGTGGTTCTTAGTTATGAAAATAATGAGCTATGAAATTCCAATTTATTGTTGACAACTTAAACGGCCAGGCACCAGAGCGGCGCATAACTTCCGTGTGCCATTCTGCCCAGTGACAAATCTATTCTGGTCCGTGGGAGGCTGCCGGCCTGACTTTAGAAGGACCCTTGTCCACCTCAGTCTTCATGGGAGATATAAAGGGCTCCAGGGCTCTAGAACATGAAACCAGCCATTTGGATGTCTGAGAAAGGCTCTCAGGATCCTGAAAATTTCAAACACTGAACCAAATGTCAGCTCAGAAAAGATATCTCAGTAAAAACAAAGGAAGGACCTCCCCTCTTTCCCTCCCCCAACCCCTGCTCCAAAGAAATATCACAAGAAGATATTGGAGACCATTCAGCTCCAGAACTGAGACTGATAACCTCTAAAATAGCTCTCTTCTTGCTCTTTTCTCTTCTACATTTTTCTATTGTGTCTTTAAAAAAAAATTCTTTCTCCCCTTTGTTTTCTCTTGTCTTTCTGTCTCCTTAAGTACTATTTTCTTTTGTGCTCCCTCCCATCTTTCTCCCTAAACCACCATCTAACAGGGCCACCAGGCTCATTTCCTCCATTCCTTCTTGAACTTAAGCTGGAACTCACTTGCTGGCCGAGTGTTAAGTAGAATCGGGGTGAGCCCTTGGCCTCCATAGCTCATGTGACCCATGCTAAACAGGAAGATGGAGTATAAACACATGGCTCATTTGTCCTAAAGGAACTGACAGATTCCTGGCCCTGAGACTTCTTTCTTTGGTCTTAATCAAGATATTCTATATGGTTATTCAACACTGTTGGGAGAATTCTTAAATTCCAGCAGATAGAACAAGAAGAGCAGAGAGTCATGATGTCACTGAGAAAACTCCAAAAATACTCCAAAATGTGCATGACTTTCATTCAGGCATCAGTTGTTAAACCATAATGCAAGCTACAGCACAAAGGTACAGGACCGCTGACCCCAGAAAGAAAAATAGTGAGAAAGCCCTGACCAGCTAAACCTGAGGATGTTCCTGTCTGCCAGGGCAGACCTAAAACGAATCACACGCCCAGAACATTTAAAAAAAGAAAAAAAAAAAAAAAAAAAAAGAAAAAACAACAACAAAAACAAATCTATTGACGTGTTTTGTAGTTATGGAGAAAGGCAGGTCCCAGAGTCACTTAGGCCTCAGTCCAGCCCAAGGACTGACTTAGACATACCCAGGCCAGTCAGTTTGCTTAAGAAAGGTTTGTTTCCTCATCTTGAAACCTTCCCCGGATCATGCTGAGGCTGGTGAATAAATAAGCGTGAGGCTAAAAGACTGCACAGCCCTCTAAGAGGACGTCATTGATAGTATTTTGCTTGCAGCAAATTGACAGGTCAAGTGGCAACTTTCAAATGTCAGATTTGAGAGTTAGTGTGGGTTGCTGTTTTGTTTTCCTTCTTCTAATTTAATGTGTACTTAGGAAGTCTGTCACTACAAAAGAAACAAAGCACATAGAAGGAAAACACTGTAGTCAACATGGTAAGGCTGACATTACAACGATGGCTGGCTTTTAAATACAGAACATGCTATTTGAAAACATTTCAGAGAAAACACTGAGGACTGGCGGGGCAGCTCAGTGGTAGACAATCGCTTAACAGGTGCACAGCCCTGCACCAGAAGAGAAAAAGAAAAATAAGAAGAAAAAGAAACATTTCACTCTGGTTGTATGCTGTAATCTATGGATCCCCTCCTCCCAGCCATTCCCTTGACCCCAAGCTCACCTAAGAGGTTTGGGAAATTCCTAAAAGCATCTCTCTCTCTCTCTCTCTCTCTCTCTCTCTCTCCTTAAAATAATTCACCAGACTTTTGAGAAACACATTGTCTCTCCTGACAAAGTCCCCCTATTCCACTTGTCACTGAAAAGAGGGGTTTCCACAGCTGCTCTGAACAAGATGGTCTCAGAAGACTTTGCCAACTCTCAAGTGCAGAGTGTGTGGGAGCAAAATGCTGCCGTGGTCTCACTGGGACACTGGGACCTTGAACCGCCGTGGGCTGTCTTTTAGATCTTTCTTTAAAACATTGAGGGAAGCCTGGAGCCCGTGCCTTTACCTGCCAAGAATTTTGCTGACACAACCATGGCTGACCCGGAGCTGCCTGGAGATGTCGCAGGGCCTGACACCTTGATGGGCAAGTTCCACTATCCTTTGGCGGACTACATCTGGGAGTGGCCGTCCATTCACAAAAACCCCCCCAAGCTGATTCACTCCTCCATGTCCTGAAACAGATCAGAAACAAAAGGCAAGGGGAAGGGTGGTTAGAACCAGTCACACAGTAGAGGTGCCCTCGAGAGCACCCACAGCCCTTGTAATCACAAATGGCTGCCAGCCTAGAGGTCTTATACCTGGAGTCCAGTCATGCAGATGACATAAGCACCCTAGATTGCCTTTTGACACCCGTCTTAGTTCTTGCCCGTCCTCAGGAAGTCACCTAGCCGCTGACAGCTCCCCACACTGTGTGTCTTTTAGTTACTAGCATTTTTCCTCTTCGTTTGGGGATAGGGGTAAGGAAATGCGTGGAAGAAATCTATATGAAAGGAGCACAATTTACTACACAATACTGAATCTGAAGAAGAGCCTGGGGAGAAAATTATGTCTTAAAATAATCAAATTTAGAGAGGAAAAAACAGTGGAACAAGTGAAAGGGGCTGCTCCAATACCCGCCTCTCCCGGGGGACTGTGTTTTTAAATCAGCAATCTAATTCAAGAGCTGAAGACTCTCTTTTTAATGACCAGCATTTTCAGATCACTGAGACAAAACCTAACCACTGCATTAATTTAAAAATATGAAAAAAAAATTAAAGCTTTTATTTGAGACTGTGATGTTGACGCGCAGGCTTGACCGTTGTACCCTCTCAGAGCGCACAAAAGAAATGGGTCAGAGGGTCTTCTGCTTACAGCACACTCCACTGAACCAGGATTTGTCAGAAAGGTGTGCCCCTGGAATTCGGGGCATGTTTTGTGATCTGCAAGCAGGTCTAAGTTGGGAGGAAATAAGAAAGCTCCGGGGTCCCAAATTTTACGAGTGCCATGGGATGTATTTTAAGTAAAAGGAGTCAGAGAAAGTGCCTATTCTGCTCCTGTGTTGCATACTGGTTCATCAGGGCCACTCTGAAGGGAAACAGGGACTAAGGAAACTGGAGAGCCAAGTAAACACAGACTGATCCAATATAGCAACCTCCTTCACCTTCGGGCTGTGAAGCAGCCATAACCGGCATTGCTGAGGGTTGGAGCCAAAACCGCGTACAAGAGTGTACTGATGCTTCTGGCAGCTCGGAAGCTGAGGAGGGGTGACCTCCTACCCTAGCACAGACTGGACTCCACCAAGAGGGAAGTCAAGGCATCTCCAAAGTCGCACACATATCCACACTCCAACTTTGAAACAGAAAATCACCACCACAGCAGCATCCACCACCTACCCTAGTCTAGGACTTATGTTCAACCAGGCCCACAAACAACACCTGAAACTGAGGGATGAAACAGTCATAACACAGCCTGTTTCTTTAAAGGAATCTAAAAAAATCCATGAATTACTTCTCAAAATTCCCAGGTTCAGGTCTATGTCCAAGAGAACCACATTTCTTTTTTTAAGGAAATGATATTACTCAGTTCCAAACTATGCTGAATTTTCCTCTGGTTTTTGAACTGTTACTTTAAGAAATTTTGATTGTTCTTAAACATTCCACACAGGAGAAGGAAAAAATAAATAAAAAATAAAAAAATTGTCCTGAACAGGATTTTACACCTAGGTTCATAATTGCATAGTTTACCTAAAACGGAAGATTACAGCAACCTTCACAAGAGCTTTGTTCTGGGACAGAGACTGTCTGAGGGGAAAAAAAGTAAATGTTGAACTAATCTTTTCAGAACAGGCTGGCTGAAAGTAAAACAAAGTACACCCAAAACTGGTGTGTGCTCATGGGAAAACAGAGGTCAGGAAAAGGCAGCTGAGAGAGCCAGCACATTCTGAATATGAGCTAGAGGTCCAGACATCGCAGCCAATCTGAAATTATTATTTGCTATACCACTGACAATTAAGACTTCTGCCCAAAACACGGTGGCAGCCTTCAGAGGACCGAAATGCCAAGATCAGTTCTGTAGAGAATTTGTGGGTTTGCATCACAGAAAAAAAAAAATCTCCTAAAGTCAGTTTTTTTACCTCAGAGCAGATCCCCCCAAACTACCTCCTCATAATGGTACCTCCTTGTGACCACAAGGCTACGATACTAAAGAATTTGCCGAATCTAAGGCAACTGTCCACACCTGACACAGACTTGGCCTAGATGACTCTTACTTTTCTTAACTTTCTGGACAGGCCCCCAGCTCCTCTTGGCCCTCTCCCCTCAGTCACAAATCTACTCAACACAACACTTTACGACTGAGGCCTTCAGGAAAGGGATTGTTAAGAAGGGAAGCCCAAATCTGAGGGCGAGTGAAGGTAGGACAGGGAAAAGAGAGGTTATAGAAAGCAGGGGCTGAATGAGACGGACAGCAAAGAAGGAAAGACTAGGGAGGACACAGAGGCTTTTAGGCAGGCAGAGGGAGGTGAGAAGGAATGGAGAAGTCCAAGGTAGATGAACAAACGGAAGACAGGGTTGCTGTGGGTGGGATCTGTCTCCTCTCCCTCACTCTCAGGCCTTGTCCCAGCTGTGCATCCCCTCGGAGTCTCAAATCCCAACTTCTACTGTGTCTTCCAGCTAGGTAAGGGCTCATCTGGCAGGAAGGCACTGGGATAAGACATGAGCCCAGCTAGCACTCCTAAGGGGAACAGAATTTGCAGAGACTGGCACAGAAACAATGCACACAAATTAGGTAACAACTGGGAAACAAACACACAGGGACAACAGACATGGACCAGCCTCCACCTGGGTGAACAGGGTGTGAGGAGGGATAGAAGAGTGATAGAATTGTGGGTGACCCCCACCCCAGGACCTCCGTGCCTCTGGCCTGGAAGGAGTTGCCTTCTGTGGATGCTCCTCGGACCTTGTTAAGGGCATATTGCCCAAAAAGGGCACCGCCCCCACCCCAAGAACTGTGGCTGGGCACAGGTTATTAGGAAAAGAGAACACTGCTCAGCTGAAGACTGAACTACAAGACCCTGGATCACAGAAGCTCTTTCTAAAGGCACCCGAGCAGAAGAAGGAAAAGGCACACGTAGACATGCAAACAGGATCGCAGCGTGTACGCCTGGGTGCCGACACACGCAAGAGTCACGCTGTGGAAGCAGATGTGGACGGACTACACAGAGGGAGAGCCTTGTCTGTGTGTACCCTCCAACAGCCCTCTGTCCTCTCTGGGATCAAGGCCTTCTCTTTCCCCCTTTCCATGAACCCCCCACAGCTTAATGGCATGCCTCTGTCCCAAGAAGCAGCTACATCCCTGTCAGTCCTTTTCTATCTCTGTAGCCTCGGTGTTATATTCTGTAAGATAGAGGTAACTGGAGGTTTGGGTCACATTCAGGTGTGACACCAGCCACAAAAGTACTCCATAACTAACTGGTGAAACGCTTGGGGGAAGGAAGCATCTGGAGGGAAGGTCACTGTGCCAGTGCGTGTGATGGAGCTGGAGCAGAGTGCGGGGTACCTCTGAACTCAGACGCCCACTGTGCAGCTCTCCCAGCAGAAGCTGTCCTGTGCAGAACTGGTTGTGGGGGATGGGAGAAGGACGGAGTAACAAGGAAAAAAACTGACCAGGGCCAGAAATAAAGATGAAATGAAGAATCACCAGCCATCTTGCAGACCCTATTTTCTCTGCCCCCATCACCAGCAGATTAGGACCCGGGGAAACAGTACATTGTGCAGGCAGGCAGCGTTAGGCACTAGGACTAAGGGTCTTTCCAAAGAAGCCAAGGGCTTCCACTAACTCTGGAAGCTCCGCTGGCCCAGCCCCCACTGTGCTACCAGGGTGACTGAGAATGGGAGGAGGGAGCGTTTCCGAGGAGGGGGCAGATGGAAGGTCGGGCAGGAAAAGCGGAGCCTTAGCAGCTGGTTAACCTGCCCCTGGAAGGAGCTGCCTCTCCACACGGATGCACACCAGAAGACCACCAAGTCTGATGCTATCGCCCCACGGGCTTGGGCATGACCTCTGGACAGCAGAACTCTGGACAGAGAGAGGCGGCGCGGGCCTTTTGGATTTCCGCCAGGAGCAGGGGAGCCAGCCCTATCCATCTTGTCTCCCAGTGGCTTCTTGGCTGAGCCAACCCTTGCCTACACCTCAGAGTGCTGCCCCCAACTCGTTTGTTTTCAGGTCCGCTCTGAGTAAGAGCTGAGGTGCTCCAGAGCCAGTCTGTGCGGGAAGAGGCTGCGGGAGCCGCGGGAGCCCTGGTGGACTGGAAACCGCTTGAACCCAGTCCCCATAGGGGGAGGAATCGTTGGGGCTGGAAGCGGAGCCAGCGGCTTCTCCGCATGAGTCTCGTCGCCGCTCGCTCGGGAGGATTACCTCCGGCTGGAATATTGACACAAAGAGAGGCTGACTTGCCCGAAGCCCGCTCCGGCTGCCTGAACAAACGTCCCCCTGCTGCCAGGCCACTCGGCCCTTCGTGGAAGGCACGGAGATGACCGCCCCAGCCTGCCTTCTCTTTAGCCGGGTCTCTCTGCCGCCTTTGTTAAATGGGGGACCCGCGGCTCTGGCCGCGGGAGCCGCGCGGGCCGGGGGAGAGCGAGCTGGAGCCGGCTGCTGGCCGGAGTCACTCTGAGATCTCAGCCCGCGGAGACCTGAGCTGGGCGCCGAGCGCAGCCCGCCGGAGCCTGGCGCCTTCCCCTGGCCGATTCGAGAGTCAGTGAAGGAAACGCGATTCGTTCCACTTGGAATTCCCTCGAAATCTCCGACTCTACTCCAGCCTTAACTCACCGTGAGGGGAGCGCCCTTCTCACGGGGGCCGTGCTAACGGGGGACGGCCAGGGTCCCTGCGGGTCGGGCCAAAACGACCCGGTCTCCGCGGCACAGGCTCTCAGAGGGCAGGGGCGCCCGGAGGTGGCTAATTGGCTTTCTTTTTCTCTTTCTTTCTCTTTTTCTCTTTCTTTCCTTTCTCTTTCTTTCTTTCCTTCTCTCTCTCTTTTTCTTTCATCCATTCTTTCTATCTTTCTGTCTGTCTTTCTGTCTTCCTTTCCTTCTCTTTGTAGCAGAGGAGCCATCTCAAGGCAGGCACCCTCCAGAGAACGCCCCAAAGATGCCTTTGAGGGTCTCTGCACGTCCTAGCCGACGCCTGCCCTGCAGTGTG